AACTCTCTACGTGTTTTATATAGTTTCATAACCCGCATCACCGTGTGGAATAATTATGAAAAGTAGAAACAAGATAGTTCCCATCACTTATCGATTATTGATTGGGTTTGAAATTTAATGAAATATATTTTTGAGTCAGCCTTTCCAGTCTTTATTGGACGGGTCCCTTGATTTTTGATAACTGTAATGGTCTTGTTATCCTATGGTTTGCAAGTGTCAATAGCCTGTGAGCTAAATGTTAGCTTAGCTTGTAAGCAATATAGTTTGGATATATATCCTTATGGATCACTACCTTGTATTTTTTCTGAAACCATTAACAAAGATTCACTTTTTCTGTCTAAGATCTCTCTCTCTCTCTCTCTCTCTCTCTCTCTCTCTCTAAATCTTGCTCCCTCTCTCTTCTTGATTCTTTTTCTTTCTCTGCAAGATTTATTCATTATGTTCTTCTGTTTAAATTACAAGGGTGAGTAGAGGAAGAAATAATTGATATGGAGCGCAAATGGCTAAAAAATAAATCTAAAAAAATGTCTATTCAAAGTTTGATTTATGATTTGAGACATTATCTGAGGGCAACAATGTACCTTATAAACGGAGCCGAAACCACCTGTTCCAAGCTTGTTGTTAGAAGCGAAATTATTTGTGGCCTTAACTATGGTACTTAGTTCAAAGAATGGTAATTCAGAGTTTATTCCACTTTCATCAATATTTGTTCTAGCAGAAGAATCTTCCCAAGACGTTGACGCTATGGTCACATTGAAAAATTTATCTTGACTTCTCTTACCTGTGATAAAAGTACATAAACAAAAAATATTGTGTTCTTAAATAATTAAAACCAATATCCAGTTACATAATTGTGAATGATTAGAGGGCACCCAAGTAAAAGGAAATTTGTTTACCTTTTCTCTTCCTCTTTAGCAACCAACATCCAAGGGAAAACAAGAGGAAGAACAATAGACCACATGCTACTGAAACTTCCAGCTTCCTCTTCTTGCCAAAAGAACTGTTTGACTTCTTTGCGTATTCGTATTGAGCTGCAGACATACAAGCATTTATTTCCAAGATTCAAAAACCTTGTAAAAAGCTAAATTTTTAGTATTAATTTATAGAAATTTCTGAACTTTTTATTTAAAAAATTCATCTTACACTCCTGACGGAACAATCACTGGTTTTTTTTTTTGAACGAGAACTTTTCAATAGGTCATCCATCTTATGATTATTCTTGTCCGAACTCGCTTAACTTTGGAGTTCTGATAGAACCCGAAGTCAGTGAGTTCCCAAAAGGCCTCGTGCTATATAGAGGTGATAGAACCCCCTCTCTCCGTTGATCGATGTGGGATGTTACAACCAAACTAAATAATAATTCCTTGATTTTTAATGAAACAAAGAAAGAAGATTTTTTTTTCATGGAACCTCGGCGTTATGGGGGGAATTATTGATAAGGAAGAGAGAAGAAAGAAGATAAATTGATAATGGAAATATACCTGAAACATTTGCATGAACTCGCACATATAAATCTTGACCCGTACCCAAATAAGTCCTTGTGTCCATCAAGTCCCCATGCCATGTTATACAGCCACTCCCTCCCTGCCTTTCATCTGCATTTGCGTATGCCATGCAAGAACAATTTCTCAGGCATTCTTCTTTACATGCTTCCCGACTCCTACTCATGTTCACACGTGCCGTAGAAGTGTCCGGCACCTTCACACGTTCCAACTTCACGAACCCTTCCCCGTTTTGGCAAACGGATGATCCTTTTTGCCTCACGCACCCGCCTGACCAATCTCTCGAATACCACTCATGTTGCAACTTGGGTTCGAATCCAGGTAGGCAATGGCACTCAAATTTATCAGTGAAGTTTGGGTATGGGTCACAAATGCTATTCGGACCACACTTCCCGTAAAAATCACACTGCTCAACCGGGGCGGACCAAAACTTGTCCCATTGATGCTCTTTATCCTTCCATGCGGACCGTTCAACGTTTCCTGATTCATCGATCACCAATTTTACGAAGATTGATTCATAAACATTACCATCCACAATGGATACCTCATCTTGATTGTTCACAAAAGTGACGTTGGAGAAGAAAGTTTTTACCATTTCAGGCACCCCGGACCATCTTTCACCGGTCCAAGGTCCAGTTCGCCACAATGGAGTCTGACCCATGTATAAAAACTCCTGTGGACTCTCAGTTGGCTCTAAACGGTATGAACAGTTGCCCGTTCCCGGGTCATCTTGGGACTTCCAAGATGTGAGGAACCGGTTCAACCCGGACCGCCTGTCCAGCCCAAGTTTCATAAAAGGAAGCATCGTATTTGTGGGATAATCAAAACCTTGCCACAACACCTTTTCACCATTAATTTCAACAACAAGATTTCCCGTATCCCAAAGCTTGGCTATCACGGAATTGTTTGGAGAAGAAACAGTGAGATTAGCGGACCAGAAAGGGGTATTTTGGTCCTCCCCATAAATAACAAGGCCACCATGATCTGCATGAACGGCTAGAAGTCCAGTTCCAGCGGTAGGAACTATGGGGTTATCTCTATTTGCAATCCAGACAATGGTTTGGATTGGAATTTTGTTGTACCAAACTCCGATGTAACGGTTATGAGAATTGCCTGGCTTAAAAAACCCTAGTGCAAAGATTTTAGTGGTGGAGAGAAGAACGTCGCCCTCTCTTAGGGGTTGGTTTGGTGTAATGGCGTCTAGGGTAACCGAAATGGAAGAGGGAAGAATCACAAGGAAGATGAGCAATACAGTACCGACAAAAAAGAATACAGTAGAATTCATTGTTACCTTTCTCATGGAGGAGTTTAAGTGCAGAAACAAAAAGCCGGAAAGGTTGGATTTTTTTTATTTGATTGAGTTTCAGAAACTCTAAGGGCATACGGGCGACTTACAGCCGTTGATGCAACGGGGAACGCACCCTCGATTTCCAGTCGTTGATGCAACGTGAACTTACCCGCGACTTCCCGGCATACATGTGAGACGGGACATAACAATTCCCTCAGACAGATCCTAGCTAGAAAATTCCACTTCATCAATTCTGAACGCACTAGTTGTATTCAATAGATTGATAAGACAAATCGAAAATTGACATTTTCTGACCACACCAGTTGTATTCAGTAGATTGATAAAGCAAATCGAAAATTGACATTTTTACTCTAAAAAGTTCCTCTTAGTACTATTCACTTACAATACATTTTTGTCATTTTCGTTAAGACTTAAAGTTCTTAAACCATTTTTATTAATTTTCTTTTCATTTATTTGGCAATCAAAGCATCACAGATCAACATCTTCGCTCCTGTACATGAAGTTTGACTAACACAAATCTCTAATTCTTAAACTCTAATAAATGTGAATGTGTCATATGTAGTGGACGGATTTACATTTCAAATCCAAGGCTGTTAGCGACCAAGCATCCACCATAGTATAAACAATAACAACAATAAAGTCTTATCTTATTAAGAGAAGTCGGTTGTATGAATTCTAGAACGTCACTGTGCTCAATTTTGCGCTAAATTTTCTGTTAGCTAAGCCCCCACCATAGTACATGTCACATAATTTACAGAATTAGCTAACTAGACTAGTATAATTTCTCTTCAATTACGTCGTAATCGAGACCAATAATTCTGACATGCCCTACATGTCAATGCACTAGAAAGAAAATTGGGACCTACTTATTTGAAGCAAAATTTTTGTGGTTAATAACCTTTTACAAGCTACCAATGGTTGCTTAACATACAACATTTCGGAATATCTTAAGAGTTTTAGCGAGGTTCCACGCTACTACATGTCACATCATTTACAGAATTTAATGTGGTGATGGGGCTCCACTGTTATATATAACTCCAATAAGAATGCTAGTTGTTTTGGTGAAGGAGCTTCTGCTTCATTACCTAGCATGAAAACAACCACCGACATTGTTGGCAGCTCAGTGGCATACTCTGTTAAACTTAATATGTTCATGTGAATCAAAACACCATGAAAACACTAACCTTGAGAAGCCATTCTCAATAGCACAGCAAGCACACGAGCACACTAAGAACACAAGGAAGGCCTTCTGCACGCTCACCACCATTTTATAACTCAAACCTATGGGGAATTCTTTTGGGTTGTGATTCAGTGGTATGTGCAGGGACTTATATTTAGTATTTATACTAACTCAATCCTAATGCATCCTCCCGCTACTTAGTACTACAATCTAGTGGTATTCTTCTTCACTGGAAAGTGAGAGGTTTAGGTTCAATTCTTGCCAAAGGCGAATTTGAACCCTATTATGAGGCTTAGCTCACCCCCCCACTCCTTTAGTGTAGATAATATCGTTTGTTAAAAAAAAAAATAAAAAAAAAATAAAAACCTAATTCATCCTCCCATAATGATGTCAGTAGGACTTGTTATTGTATGAGGAAATAATCTACCAAATCTGAATCAAAATAAGATAATATCACGAGCTCTTATTCTCCAAGAATAATTAGAATATTATCTTTACATGAAGCCCAAGTTATGGCTTATAACTAAACCCTAATCCTACTTACATTCCATAACAATCCTTATTAATTATAGTGACCTATTAGCTGTTGGATTAAACCTTTTACAAGCTGCTACCAATAGTTGCTTAACATACAACGTTTAGGAATATCTCAGGAGTTTTAAGTTTAGCGAGGTTCTACGCTACTACATGTCACATCATTTACGGAAATTTCTCCTTCAGTACTGTGGTTCCCCACTGTTATAACTCCAATAAAAATGCTGGTTGTTTTATTGAAGAAGCTACTGCTTCATTACAGAAATTTGTCCTTCAGTACTGTGGTTATGGGTCCCCACTGTTATAACTCGAATAAAAATGCTGGTTGTTTTATTGAAGAAGCTACTGCTTCATTAATTAGCATGAAAATGACAGCCCGACATTGTAGGCCGCTAAGTGGCATACTCTGTAAATCCTAATATGTTCATGTGAATAAAAACACCATGAAAATACTAACTTGAAAAACCATTTTCGATAGCAGAGCAAGCCACGAACTGCAGTAAGCACACGAACACACTAAGAACACAAGCAAGGCCTTTTGCACACTCACTACCATTGTATACGTAACAACCCACTGTAAAAATTTAATTGTAAAATTACGAATTTACCCGTGTGTTGGGTTTTTTTCAAATTGGTCCAGTTCTTTGGGCTGTGTGTCAACAAGCCCAAAACCCAACCCATTATTCCTTCCCTCTCCCGTGATCCCCCACCATCTGAACACTCTCTCTTCTTCCTAATTCTTTTTTGCATTCACTCTCTATCTCCGAGAATGTAGATTTTCTGGTTTAAAGTTTCAATGTGTATTTCATGTATTTTTGTACAAGAGTGAGTTCGGGTATATATGAGAAGAGAGAGGAAAAAGAGATGGAAAAGATGGTTGCAGCAAGCAGACGACAAGAAAGAAGAAGGCATGTTGCCTACCTAATCTAAACCTTACACAAAGACATTACCTCAATCAATCTCCTCCCTTAAATCAAGGGAAAGGTGATTTACATACCCTTACCCTAAAGATTACAATGAATCTTACCCTAGAGATTTACCCTAGAGTCACCTTGGTAGTAAACTCCATATGCAGCATCAGTAGATGCAACATGCTGCATCAGTCATATGCAGCATCACAACAGAGAAGGACCAAACCAACTTCTAGAAACTTGAACTTCGAATCTTTAGGACCTAGGGAACTCACCTGTGAGGTTACATGTGGCATTTGAGCACTTTTACGTACTCTGCCATTGACACCGAGCTCGAACTCTCTTGAATTGTCATCGCAGGTATGAACTATTTTTCCTTCTTGGTTGTGTTGATTTCTAATCTATCTAGACGAGTATTATGTCGAAAAATCTGGGGTTTAACTCTTTGCATGCACCTACTCTTTTGGTCTCAGATTTCGACGGTGAACCCGTGGTTTTTCCGGCGAGTTTAAGGGTGTTGACAATCGAAATCAATTGGACACGACCCTAGGTAACTAGATACATTGTTGCATGTGAATTTTGGTGGAAGAACATTGAGATTTATTATGCATGCACTCTGTTTCCTTTTTCCAGAATCCGGCGAGGAAACCCAACGGGTTCCAATTCACGCATTACGTATCGCAAAAAGGTTTCCGATTAGAGCGGAGGAACGGAGTTCCTATTTGCATGGTTTCGTGACGAATCCCCGCCAATTCTGACACGCTCAATCTCGTTCGTGTTCTAAAATTGGTATAACCTTGTTCCAGCATCATTGTTTAATGTTTGAATTGTGATTTTTCAGCAAGTTTAACCCCAAATCGGAGTTGGGAGAATTTCCGGCCAAAAGCCGGTGTTATTTTTCGATGGTTCCGGTGACATACGAGTAACTCGGGTCGACCCGACTAGCATGCCAACTCAGCCCAGACCCCAAATGATTTAGCCCAACGGGCTAAGCCCGCCCTTTTATTTTATAGCATAAGCCCAAAACTTAAAATTAAAATAGGCCCAAGTTCTTTTAATTAACCAGGCCCAATGACCCTCGGCCCAACCCAACCAATCCGATCCAACCCATTTGACCCGACCCATTGATTTTGACCCATTGACCATTGACTTTTTCGAGTTTTTCTACTGTGACCCTTCTAGACTAATTTCGACATTCTGATTCCAAATCTACACTCCGTTTTCAAAAATTCAATCGCCTTAGTAGCATTTTATTAAATAGTCTCTATTTGTGTATAGGTGCACCGGTGGAAGGTGATCCAGTCTTCCCTAGTTCGAGCGGTTCCCTAAGAGTGAAGTACTTGTGAGTATTTTATAATTAACCATCTAGCATGCAAATTCATATTACCTAATTTGAATACGTTTTATATTATACTTTGCTTTACGGATTTCTATATTATGATTTAGGGTAAAGTACAAAAAATTACCTCAATTATTGGTGTCACGATTTTTTCATACCTCATCTTTTCATACCTCATCTTTTAAAATTGACTATGTTATACCTCATCTTACGAATTTGTGTCAATGTTACACATTCCGTTAGTTTGGCGTTCTCAGTTAAATATTGACGTGGCTTGATTCAGGGCTCACTTTCTATTAAAAAAATTATTAAAAACTAAAAAAAATTTATTTAATAATTTTTAAATATTAAAAAAAAAAAAAAAAAAAAAAAAAAACCCCTCACTTCGTCCCTTCCCCCCCCTCTCTCTTTCTCTCTCTCTCTCTCTTCTCCCCCATCTTCATCTTCTTGCTTAATCTTTAACCAAAATAAAAAAAATATTTGAAAACCCATCAACCCACCAGAAAAAAGAACCCTCTCTCTCTCTTCTCCCCCATCTTCATCTTCCTGCTTAATCTTCAACCAAACAAAAAAAAATATTTGAAAACCCATCAACCCAAACGCAACCCAAAAAGAAGAACCCCCTCTCTCTTTTTCTCTTTTACCCCACCTTCATCTTCCTGCTTAATCTTCAGCCAAAAAAAAAAAAAAAAATTTGAAAACCCATCAACCCTCCATCCCCACCCAAAGAAGAAGAAGAAAGAAAGAAAAAAAAAAAAACCAAACCAAACGCAGTTTGTAACCCCCCCCCCCCCCCCCCCCCCCAAAAAAACCCAACCCCCTACAACCCAGAAAGAAGAAGGAAAAAAAAAAAAAAAACCCAAACCAAACCCAGTTCCTCCCCCCCAAAACCCAACCCCAAATCTACCACTCCCACCCCATCATGAAGGTTTCCCGATTCCACCTCAACAGGATCTGGGGTTTTTTTTTTGGGTTGCAGGTAGTGGGTGCAAGGGTGGGTGTGGGTTTAGGAAAGACGGGAAGGGGGAAGAAAGGAAGGAGGTAGGGGAAAATCACGAGTTGGGGGGCAGATAAATTGGTTATTTTTTTTTTTTCCTTCTTTTTCTTTTTTTCTGGGTTGCAGGAAGGGCGCTGGAAGGGGGAAGAAGATGAAGATGGGGGAGAAGAGAGAGAAGGAGGGGTGGGGAAAGGGGAGGTGAGGCTTTTTATTTTTTATTTTATTATTTTATATATTTTTACTTTTCTTTATTATTTTAATATTTAAAAATTATTAAACGATTTTTTTTTTAGTTTTTAATAATTTTTTAATAGAAAATAGGTCCCGAATCAAGCCACGTCAACATTTAACTGAGAAATTCAAGCCAAGCTAATGGAAGGTATAACATTGGCATAAATTCGTAAGATGAGGTATGACATTGTCAATTTTAAAAGATGAGGTATGAAAATGTCGTTACACCAATAGTTGAGGTAGTTTTTTTGTACTTTACCCTATGATTTATTTAAATTACATTCTATGAAATGTTATAAGTTATAACTATTGATTTCACACTTAGAAAAGGTTTACGACTATTTCTTTTATGCCTTATGAGATATTGCAGCTTTATGATAATATTATGGATTTGTGGTTTATGAGAATGATTTGAGTTGTTGACTTGAGCTTTGAGATTTGAGTTATATTTTGGGTATATATATCTAGTGGGTTATCATACAGCACATCCACACAATACGGGTATTAGATGTCTATGGCCATATGACATGGTGATGAAGAGGAGTGAGATATATGTTATACCCCCAGCTTCACTGTCAAAAGGAGTGTCGGATAGCTTCACTAGTCACGACTAATGTTGGTGTGAGATGTTATAGAGTTTCTTCTCCAGCGTAACCCGAAGTCGTACAGCTTCACTTTCGGGTGATGGGGCCTACCATGGTTCTTCACTAACGTAACCCAGTGTTGTACAAATTCGTCTTTGGACAATGGACAGGTACTACTTTCGGGCGACTATGATACCCCTAGAGAATATAGCTTTGATGGGATTTATGGTTTTGCCTTCGGGCATTTTAAGATGCATGTTTTAGAGATGATTTTACAGTTACGAACTTTTCCAGCATGCTAGAGTTTTAGAAAAACCTATACATAGTATTATATCTGTTTTCAAAGCATGAGTTATTATGTTCAGAAATATTAGTACAAATATAAATATGGTCCATTCACCTTTTCTATTTTGCGCCCCCTCAAGACCTAGTGACGAAAAGTACAACCCGAATGTCAAGGCATTTCCCTACCAGTGACTTTGAGCTCTTCCATTTGCGTATGATTTTCTTGCTGAATTGTAATCTGAATTCTTATTTGCACTTGTAGTTTCGTGTAGTAGTAGGCTCTGGACATATTTGTATTTCTTTTGTTTCAAATTTGTATGGAATTATGGCTTTCGTCACTTCCGAGTGTCAGCCAACACATGTCATCCAGGTATCATTAGGATATCTAGGTTGGGGCATTTCAGTATACCTCAAACCTATGGGGAATTCTTTTGAGTTGTGTTTTGGTGGTATGTGTAGGGACCTATGTTTAGCATTTATACAAACTTAACCCTATGTATTCTCCTGTCACTTACTACAGTTTAGTAATATTTTGATCTTCACTGTTAAGTGAGAGGTTTAAGGTTCGACTCTCGCCAAAGGCGAATTTGAACCCCATTTTGAGGCTTACCCTACTCCAAACCCTTTAGTGTAGATAATATCGTTTGTTCAAAAAAAAAGAAAAACAAAAAACAAAAAACAAAAAAACTGAATGCATCATCCCATAATGATGTCATTAGGATTCTGTTCTAGTGTCATTAGGATTCCTTATTGTACAAACAAATAATCCACCAAACCTCAATCCAAATAGCATAGTGTCATGAACTCTTATTCTTCAAGAATAACCGAAATATTATCTTTACTTGGAGTCACTAAACTCTAATCCTACTTACATTCCATAACTATAGTGACCTATTAGCCGTTGGATTAAAGTATAATATTCAAAATACTCTTGCACACATAACAGGGCAATTTAGATACATCTCACAACTTCGTTGACATGATACGATTCGCCCAGAGATGAATCGACAATTTCAAAGGCATTGCCTTCTCTACACAAGGAATCTCGATTTGAGTACAAATACTTGAGAAGTAACGCAAAATCTCTACAAGAGCTAGCAAAGTGCAAACTCAACGAGCTTCAATAACTGTTACTGTTACATCATTTACAAAAGAAGCTTCTTTAGACATTGAAGAATCCGGACCACTATTTTTCAAACTAAACGCTGCCTTTTTCGGGCGTGGAAGAGTCGTTTCATTCCCCAACATGAACACAACATCTAGCATGGTTGGCCGGTCTGTTGGGTATTCTTGCACGCACAAGAGCCCAATCTGAATGCATCTCATAACTTCAGGAGTTGAATACGACTGGTTCAATGATGAATCAATTATGTCCAAGACTTTTCCTTCAGTCCACAAGCCCCATATCTGAAACAATTTTGAGCACAATGTTTAGATCATTGGACTACTCGAAAGTTAGATTCATCGTTTGAAAAATTATTTGTTTACTTACTATTCCAACTAGATTCAGAGATGAATTTTCAAATTGGAAGCTATTCTTCCTTCCACTAATGATCTCTAGTGTCAAGACTCCAAAGCTAAACACATCGGATTTTGTGGAATATAGCCCATCCATAGCATACTCCGGTGACATGTAACCGCTGCAATCACACAATATGAGTATAAAAAAAATATTGGTTCTACTTGAATTTTTTTTTCAAGGGAGACGAGACAATTACTAGGTGCCAACAACTTTGTTCGTGTTTGCTTGAGTTTGGTCATCCCCGAACATCCTTGCTATGCCAAAATCTGATATTTTTGGGTTCATTGAACCATCCAGTAAAATATTGCTCGCTTTCAAATCCCTGTGGATTATTTTTAGTCTCGAATCTTGATGAAGATATAAGACGCCTCGAGCAATCCCAATGATAATTTGAAATCTTTTTCTCCAATCTAACAACGAATTTCCGTTTTTATCTGAACACCACACATAAAAGCTTCTATTATCTACAAGTTTATGATTTCTTAATTTCAGGGTTAATGTCAGAAAACTTAAAGTATTTAATAGCAGTGTGTAAAGATGGCATACCAAAAATGCATAAGTCCAAGCTACGATTTGGCATGTATTCATAGATTAGCATCATCTCTTCTTTATGTATGTAGCAACCCAAAAGCCTCACAAGATTTCTATGCTGAAGCTTTGCAATAAGCATTACTTCGTTCTTGAATTCGTCTATGCCTTGTCCTGAATTTCTCGATAATCTTTTAACAGCTATTTCCTGTCCATCAGCTAGACATCCCTGAAATCATGGTGCAGACTCGAAAATCTTAATGACAACACAGATGCCGAAGCCACATAATGCAGAGATCTCACAATGTTGAAGGGGAAGTACCTTATATACCATGCCGAAGCCGCCATGGCCAAGCATGTTAGCAGAAGAGAAGTTTTCTGTGGCTGCTACCACGGTGGTTAAATCGAAAAAAGGTAAATCTGTTTCTCCTCTGTGTTCATCAATTGGCAAATCTTCATATCTTCGTACACCAGAAGCAGTGGGATCATTCAGAAATTTGGGTTGTCCTCCTCTCCCTGTTTCAGTTCCATTGAAATTTCAGGCTATAAAAATTTCCAAGCCGAAAGAAAATGAAACTTGAGCCGAAATAAAGCTACAAAACAAATTGAAGACGAAAGAAGGGGAAACTTAACGTATACCTTTCATGCTCCTTATCCTGAACCAATATAGAACTGCGAGGATGAGCATTGAGGCGACAGAATCACTACCAATATAATAGCCAGTCGCCTTTTCCTAGAAAAATACCCTCCTCCTGACTTGTTTTTATACTGAGCTGAAAAAAGAAGAGAAAAATATATGCACCAGTGCCATGAATGGTATGAAGTTGAAACATGTAGTTGAGGCCAGGAGCAAGAACACAAATAATTGGAAATTTAAAACATTAAAAATACCTAGAAGAATACAAGCTAGACACTTGAGGCCATTAGCCGCAACCTCACTTTTCTTTGAGGGCAGATAAATTTCCCCTAATGTTTTTAGAACTGGATGATAAACTGAAATCGATGGGACGACACAAAAATTGCAATACTTTCTATCCGGATTCTTTAAGTTTGACTTTGATTAAACAAGAGGAAATTCTCCCAGAAAGTTGTATTTTCTTTTCCTAAATTAGCACTCCCAAAGTAAATTAATTAACACTAAATTGATTAACCTTAGCAGATGTTAAGGAGTGATCATTTACAATTAAATGGTCCAACATATGTTCATCCCAAAAACAAGTCAACACAAAATGCCAATGCAAATTCCCCACCAACCATCTCAATCAAAATGCCAATCTTTTTAATTACTTAACTTACAACAACTCAATCCATCACCTCCCAAGCAGCAAACTTGATCAACACAGAAAAAAAGATTTCACCTTTATTCATCAAAGATCTTACATATTTACTTAATATAATGAAATAAACAAAACCCAGAAATCACAATATGGGAGGAAATAAAAACACTGATTAACCCAGGAAAGGTTTCATCTTTATTCATATACAAGTCAATGAAAAAAACTCAGAAAGCATAAAATGGTAGCAACAAGAAACACCAAGTATCTTCCATTCTTGGCACTAAAACATGTTAATGAATCACTCAGCACCAACATGCAGAGAGAGAGAGAGAGAGAGAGAGAGAGAGAGAGAGAGAGAGAGAAACTTACACAATGTAGATTTTGGTGGCCATTGATGGAAGAGTCTCTCTCTCTCTGTTTCTTTTCTGTGCGTGCGATGGTGTTTGTGAGTGAATGAAGCTTTTGACAGGAGTGCACCAACCATTGGGGGGGGACCCCTATTTATAACGCATCCTAAGCCTAAGCTTTGTGTGTCCAAAGACTTGGATTAATCCTTAATTTTATGTATATGGTATTGTTGATGCCATACTTAAATACTTATCTACCCCCTAATATTCTTCGTATTCTCCAACATACACCTCAGAAATGATTTTTGTATATATTTTTTCTCCTTATATTCCTCTATATTTTATTTTGTCGCTTGATTTTTTTTTAATTTGCTCACTCCAAAGGTAAGAAATATACGAAAATGAGCATGGGAGAGAAAAAAAGGTGTAACGAAAATCAATTCTCTACCTTATTGTACCACATGCTTGATTTTTTTTTATTCAATTTTTTTCTTATATTGTATTTCGAGTACCAAATATAGTATAAATAGATACCTAACACACTCATGTGGAAATACAATCCTCATAACGTAAGTCATATGTCATTCATAGGTCATTGTACTTAACATGCATTTATACTATAGGAAAAATCAATATATTTCACTCAAAATTTTCATTTTCAACATATTTTTTTCTAGATTGAAAACATATATATTGATCCAAACACATGGCTTGACCTTGACAATATCAAGAATTCTAACACAAATCCACCCTATACTTGATTATTGGGTGTAATAACTAAGTAAGGTTGAATATTAATTTAGGATGCTGTTAATTTGCTATTCACATATTTTTTTTCTTTTTACTTTTTACACATATTTCGTTACTTTATGTATTTTGATCATTTTTAATTCATATGATCCGCCGATTAAAAATTGAGAAATATACGTGAAAGATAAAAAAAGGTAAGTGGATAGCTTCACCATTAATTTAAAATAATATATAGTGATGTATTGTTATTTTTATTATTTTAAAGATAGAGTGCAATGTGCGTAAACATAATTGCAGGAAAAGTCAGGTGCTTATGGGTTATGGCCAAACGATGAGGCATCCACACCCCCATTAGGGATATTTGACTTTGTCGATGCCTCCAGAAACTCGTAAAATATAAAAAAATAAAAATAAAAAACTATATTTCAAGTATTTAACTAATTCAATTTCTAATAAAACAAAGGACTATATACCTTCGTGCAGGAAAAATTCTTTTATCCAACACTTGGATTAGATGGAGTCTCTATCTAAGGTGTGACCCAAGGAGAGTATAACCGGGCCGGACATTATTTCGAGGGAAATTGGGCACTTGAAATCCTCCGGGAACTGAGTCGGCATTTCTCAACTCGCTCGCGTCAGTCGGTAAAGAAATGAAATGGAAGAAAAAGGGTTTACGAGGTTTTTGGGTTCTCAACTGGTGGAGTGTCTTTGACACTTCAAGACTTCGAGCGAAGGGAGAGAGAGAGACTTTCACTACCAAATCCTACGCTCACAAGTCACAACACATTAATACGCATTTTCATGCCAAAAAAGAAAAATAACAATTGTAATACACCTGATGAAATTACTATTACACCCTTCTCACATTTTGTTTTCAAAAGTTTTGGAATCTTAATCAAACACTCCTCATACTGTTCATTTTTAACATTAATGACATTTTTACCTTGAAAAGTCACTTTTGATACTATTTACTTACAATTTATTTTGTCCTTTTGATTAAAAACTAGAGTTTTTGAGAACTTTTCTTCAGTTTTTTTTTTCTTTCTTTGTTTGGAGAAATACCAGATTATTCGAAATTTGGAATGTTATAACTATTGTATCTCGAGTTAATCACATATCTTTACATAACTAGATTTTAGCACATAACATTGAATGATTATTTACATAATTGGATTCTTAAATGTATAACGGTATACAATTATTTCAGATTACTAAACAATTATAACGGTAAGTAAGCTTTTCTTCTCAAGGGCATCTCTCAAAAGTACCTTGAAATGGACATTTTATATATTTTTTTTCTTTGCTGGAAAATTATCCAATGGTGAAATATAAATTATCCATCTTCGTCGAAAGATGGAAATAAAAACTTAAATTTATATTCTTTTTTTACATCTTTTGGTCATGAGCCCCGCTAATCAAAGAGACAAAATTAAATGGGATCTCAAATTTCCATTATTCCCATTGGAGTATAGCTTCATTTACATCTATCAGAAACATAAATATGATTTTTCCATCACAAATTTTGTACTTTCTCATTAGAGATGCCCTAAACAACGATTCGGATTCGTTGCGTATATAATGCTTTGTGACATATTTGCTTTAAGGATTTTACTCTTGTTGTGTTTTTGTGCAAACTTTATCCAAGTTAATTGCTTGGTCACTGAAATTATCAATCCAGTTAGCATCTCCGTATTTATTGGAGAAGGTCATCATTTATCCGCTTTTCAACTTAACGACACAAAAAGGTCCCGTCTTTGGCCAAAACTTCGGGGGGTGTTTTTAGAACTTTGCTTGTTTCCTTTGGTTTCTAACGGTTGTCTGCTTTTCAATCATTGTCACGGAAAAACCTCAACAGTTACCCTACAGTTGAAGCATGGAATCAATCACGACCTATACTTTTGCCATTGAATTTACTTAAATGCCCCTATTAGAGTCAACATTGCCAGCCATAAACATTTGCCTACTTGGAATACACGTGTTTCTTCCCTCTATTGTCACGTGACCAATTATACACGCCCCTTTCATACCATAATGGAAGGTCCGACGGATTTTTCAATATACTTGGCACATGACATGAGTGAAATATCATATATTATTAGACAATTAAGATGATAATTAAAAAAAAAATTCTCTAATTAGATAATGATATGTAAAGTATCATTTCGTGTTCCGATTACACTAAAATATTTCAAAAGCACTAATCTCACATTAAGTTTGACAAGTCCTCTAATCAAGTTTGGGAAGGATTTTGGGACACAATGATCCTCGACCTAGTAATACAGGTAAGATAGTCTTATTCATGCACTTATTTTTAATTTTGGTACACCTCTTTTAATTTTTAGTTTCGAATCGAATAAATTGAAAAAGATTAATGCCAAATAATTAACAAAGTTGTGTGTAAAGTAAAATTGATTTATGAGTGTATAAATATGTCACTTTAATCTTTTTATAATGGCCAAGTCAATTGAAGAAGTTTTATACTTATTAGAGACGAAATATCGTAAGACTAACTGGTCACATAGTTAAAAAAATTCTCACTCTGCTAAACTTTGATCAAATAATTCCATATAAACGTGATTCGATGGACCTTAAGTTCTCCGTCCAAATTTGTTTAGAAAACACAAACGGTATCAACACAAGCATCATGAAATGTGAACGCTCTGATCCAATGGTGATTAATAACTTGGTTACGACGTCACGGTTGACAAAAGACCACCGTTTATTATTTTCTAGGTTGAATAAAATGCAGTCGGTGCGTATTTTTTTATTTTTTGTTGAGATACTCCTTGCTTAATTTTTTAGTCGTTAGGATTATCGTCGAATGTTTCTTCCATATTTATAATGCAACTACGCAAGGTCTGCCTCATACAGTTTATATCTCACTGTTATTAAATCAATTTCTTAATTACGACGCTTTCTTTTGTGTTGTCAAAAGATTTAATAAAGACATTAATTGATAAGATTATAAACTTCGTTAGCGGTGGTTTTGATGTGGCTTAGGGAGTGATTTTGGCCCCACGTGTGATCGGTAGTTTTGATGTGGCTTTGTTTGTTAGTGATAATTTGATGTGGTCTCAGTTTATATGACAGTGACATTATGGGTGCACTGGTATAATTAAGTCTGTTGCACCTGCTATCTTTGTGGCAGATTTGTACTGATTGTGCTTGTGCTAGTTCACGCGCTTGTGGTATCCAATAAAGGATTAGCATTATTGCTTGTTTGTGTGAACTACCTCTAGATCATATATTTGTGAGTCTTGTGACTAGAAATTGTATCCATGTGACAACCCAAATAATTGCTATCGTTCGCTAATAGAAAATTGCTATCATTTCTTGTTAAAAGAAAAATTCATGAGGAAAATGACATGCATGCATAATTAAATCTTGTGACGCCACTCGGCCTTTGAATATTAAAAGCCTAATTTTGATCAAGAATTGGACACATTACATGTCTTATTTAAGAGAGTATCTTATCAAGTAAATTAATTTTGTGTCTAAATAGTTTGATTGTATATGCAAATATCCATCAAAGAGTAACGACTGATATCGAACCATGGAACTAAGAATGGTGTGAAAATGATTCTTTCCCACTAGAAATGGATCATTCAACTGTGTATATCTTGGTTGGCTACCTTACTTTGTGTGTTTTGTATGAATAGATGATAATGATCATACATTATTTTAAGAAACTATTTATGTTTATAATTAACTATGAGCTCGTTTGAAAGTATTTTTGAAATAACGGAGAACACTTGTAGAGAAAATACTTTTAGGCCTAAAATTATTAAAAATTTCTTACAAAAGATTAGTTTTAAAAATATTTTCATTAAAAATATTTTTAGCAATTTTAAATGTACTTTCAACGGGGCATATAACTTTTTTCTTTTGATCAACGAGATAGAAAATATGAATTTAGTACCATCTTCCAAAATTAATAAGAAAAATGTCACCAAACTAACTTGGTGATGACGACCCATTTTTGTTAGCTCATGGTTTTTGACTTTTCAATTGCTCGTGTAGATAAAAACAAATCTCAACCTCCTTCATGTTTCAATAATTTATTTAACTCTTTTGCTTTCTTCTGCCAAAGTTTAAATTCATGGTTTACCTCTTCTTTACGTTACCAAAGTGGATAGACTGAATTATGTTAGTACTGGAAATGTGCCGCCATTTGAATACAATTGGTTGGTGTACGTGTTGACCGAAATGCTCATCTTATTACGCAGTTTTGTTTTTATTTTTTGGTGTGTTTTAGGGCTTGTTTTTAGAAGTATTTAAAATAATTGAAAGTGATTTTAGTAAGAATGCTTTAGAACTAATTCTTTATAAAAATACAAATTACTTTGGTCCAAAGAAGGAGAGGAACTCCTCCCTCTTTTTATCATTCACCTAACCTTCTCCTCCAAAAGTGTTTCTTTAGAAGGATGGGTTTCTCTCTCTCTCTCTCTCTCTCTCTCTCTCTCTCTCTCTCTCAACTAGACTACGAAAAATTTGTTCCCGATTTCATGAGTATCTTTGGGATTAATTTTGTGCAGCCACAGTGCTGATCTTGTATCTTTATTTGGATCTATCTTGCTCCCTGGGTTGTAGGCAAGTTTCTTCAG